TCAGACCATCCTTCGAACTCTGCTTTAGTCCCACTCTACTTCCCTGTTCTTCTTCCTTCTGAGCCTTTCTTTTCTTACTTTCTCCCTTACTCTCCTTAATGTCATATGTTTTTGGCCATTGGAAGATCTTTGCGTATTCATCATGCTGAATGTGGATGTCATTCTCGTCCAAGCGAACCTTCCTTGCATACTGTTCTGCGTAAAATTCTTTGATTTCCCCTTCCCTCCTTAGTAACTCAAATCTGTTTTCTGAGGTGATATCTTTTGCCACCTGTGTTGCCTGTTTGAGGTTTCTCAAATGTTTATGATGGGCAAGCCTGATCTCACACTCAATCATCCTTCCCCATTCCAACTCTTCCACTTCTTGAATCCATTGTTCCATGGAACTGTCCTCCTCCTTTGACCCTTCTTGCTCCCCTCCTCCTTCTGATGACTCTTTCGATTCCATATCCTCTGAACCATCCCTCTGATCTTCCTTCGCTTGCAATATTTCCTCCTCTGTCATGTTTTCCACATTACGCATCCGCCTCCTTCTTTCCTCTCTTTCCTTATCGGATTCTGATGTGGTGGCGGTTCCCTTAGACCCTCTCTTGTCTTCTCCCTCCTGACCTGTGCTCCCCGACATCGCTGTAGCGTGAGTGGTTCGCTCCTTTGTGTCTGTTGCTGTGTCCTGCGCCGTTGATGCTTTGCTGTGCTGTCTTTTTGGACGCGGTGCCCTTCCCACGTGATTCTCAGATTTATCTATTTACCCGAACGTCTCCTTTCTTTTCAAAGGTTGGCTGCTTCCACATGTGTCCTCCCCTTCCCCTTCTCCACACTCCATATTTTCCCCTTGCTCTTGCCCTATTTCCCCCGAGACCCCCTTGTTACCCACCTGCTGTTCCTGTTGCTGTGCCCTGACCGCCTCATTTTCCATAAAAGCCATTTCTGCATTTTTCCCAACTGTGTGGAGGTCGTTCATGAGCTGCAATCTTTGTTGCACATCCAGCATGATTGTGTCATCCAACATTGGTTCGTAATATACCTTGTTTCCTTATCCTCCATTCTCTTTGCTCCCGTCTGCCTCCATCTGCTGTCGTAAGGGGGGTATATGTGTGGTTTGATAGTGGGATCTTTCTTCAACACCCACACCCATTTGGGGTTGTCCAAATTATCATAAAAAATCCACCCCCTATATTGAGGAGAATTAATATACCACACCCCTGGTTTACTCTCACATTCTTGCAGCATAGACTGACGCAGTGGAATCTGCTTCCCCCCTACCGCCCCCTGCGGACAGAAAGATCCCAGATGCCCTCTTCCCCTACATTTAAAACAGAAGGGATTCGTTTTGGAGGATATAAACACAATTATCCTCTGCCCACTTTTCCTAAAAATCCATTGATCGGGGAACTTCGGCGGAGCGCCCGATTTAACCTCCAGACATGCCACACGAGAGTCATGGTTCGGTGCAAGGAAATTCGGGTTAGTAGGGAGCCAATCAATGATTGGGTTATTCGGGAATTCCTCCTCCAGCCTCTTTTGAACAAAGTTATGCATCCCCTCCGACAGATTATCGAATTGAACCCAAAAATGGTTTCTCATCATTGATTGCCTATGTCTCGACGCCTTAGCCTATGGGGGTCTTGCTGGTTTCCAAGCCTGGATGGTGACCACTGCACCCTTGCACTTTAACGAGCCAATCGATAGCAAATACTGGGTGTAAGTTTGGTCCACACAAACAATCATTACCGCAAACCTTCCTTTATGATACGAAACATCAGGTTCCCCTCCCGGAATGCTTTCCATCCATCACCCATCTTCTTTTCTCATTAAGGGAAATGTCCCTGCTTCTTCCTGAGAAGTTGAAGATGACCGCGTGTTTCTTATATAACTCAAGTAGTGACTGTATATCCTCCTCTCGGTATTCCCATACTTCCACCTCTTCTTCCTTCCCTCCTTCTCCCTTGATTACCCTCCCTCGTCACCTTGATATCTGACTTAATTTGCCTTTTGTCTAGCAGAAATTCCATTGCCTTTTGGCCCAACGTGCGCGGCTTGGATTCCCCCATTTTTATATTTGTCCCTGATTGAGATGCTGACTGAGATGATTGATTCCCTGATATCCCTTCCTTCTTTTGATTGAAATCGTACTTCTCCCTTGCATTCATTGCCCTCTGGGCAGCCGCTGAATATGACATTGCCATGTTTGATTCTGCTCCCCTGTCTTCCTTCTGGTTTGTCAATCCCCCCTGGAAGTATGATCACCTTTTCACTTCTTCCTTTCAGTTGGCCTTTCGAATAGCAATGAGCAAACGTTTTCCCTTGTTGTCAACTAAGTTAAGATGCGAGAGACTTCTTACCTGGCGTCTTTCTCTCTTTGCTTGCTTACCCTTTAGCACACTAATGACGATTTTCCGCCGATCAGAGGTGGCACTGACGTGCAAGTCAGCGCAGCAATGACGATACTCACGCTAATCCGAGGTGGCACTGCCTCAGATTCTCCGGCGATCAGAGGTGGCGCTGACATGCAAATCAGCGCAGCAATGACGATACTCACTCCAATCCTAGGTGGTACTGCCCCAACAGATAGCGCAGCAATGACGAATGCGACGTCGATCCGAGGTGGCACTTAAGTCTTAGCCCGCACCGCCAATCGGAGATGGCACTGCTTTAGCAGACAGCGCAGCAATGACGAATGTGACGTCAATCCGAGGTGACTCTTAAGTACTAGCGTGCGCGCTCACTCGACTATTCTCCCGGCGAACAGAAATGCTGGTGTGACGGTCACTTGACGATTCTCACGGCGATCCGAGGTGGCGCTGAGGTGCGACGATCCGAAATGCTGACGTGGCGATCAGAGGTGGCGCTGACGTATTAGCCAGCACCGCAATGGCTCCGATCCAAAGTAGCACTGACCTACCAATCCCCGTCGACCCCGATGTTTCAGAGCAGCAATACTCCCACCTATCCGAATGGCGCTGACGTACTCTCACGCCGTTCGAAGGTGATTCCGACACCTCAACCCTCTGTAGTCGTGTCCGACACCTGCCCCCGATGCATTGACCTACTTTCGTCGACTCCGACTTTCCGACGCGTTGCGCGCTGACAGCCGAAATTCGCCTCCCTCTACCCCAAGTTGGAGCGAGGAAGGCTGCTGACGTGCAGCGACTTGCACGCGATGAGCAGCGACCTACACGCGATGAGCAGTCAAGATTCGCCTCCCCCCACCCCAAATTGGGGCGAGGATGGTTGATGCCGTATAGCGATCCAGCGTGATGAGCGATGTTGGAGACTGCCGTATAAAGTTGCTGCGTCTTCGACGCCCCCCGCTTGCCGACGTCGCAGCTACGATGCGCGGTGTTTAGCGCGCTACCCCAGCACGTCAGTCCCCGTCAGTCCGGTTCCTATTCCCCCCCGGCAAGTCAAAATTGAATACATCATAGTACACACTCACGCTTCTTTCTGTCTGGCCGAAGGAACCCTGACCAGCATTGATAACTCCTGTATGGGAGGATTGACTGTCGGCTCGCCCTACCCTAGTTTTCCTCTCAGAAACCCTGTTGGTTCTGTCGAATAGGCATTGAAGCACAAGAAACTGGGAGAGATGTCTGTCAATCTGAGACTAAAGCCTCTCAGGACTGCATTCCTTGGAGTGGACCACTTCTTCCAAATCAATTTATTGATGACTGTCGCAATCTTTCCCTGTAGCAGCCAGTCTCTCATGAAGATTCATCTCCTGAGGGCGAGTCTTTCAAGTTTGCCTCTCGTTGCTGCCGACACACTTCTCAATTTGCATCGGATCTCTGTTTCCACCGTCCTCAGCAGAAGAATCCACATTTCTTCCTTGACCACTTTTGAACCCTCGATTGTCTTGGTGCATCTCCTTTTCCATATGACCCACTGGGCTAGTTTCCTAAGCATGTGAAACCAGACCACTTTTCCTCCTGTGAGACTGTCGGGCAGAAGAATCCACATTTCTTCCTTGACCACTTTTGAACCCTCGATTGTCTTGGTGCATCTCCTCTTCCATATGACCCACTGGGCTAGTTTCCTGAGCATGTGAAATCAGACCGCTTTTCCTCCTGTGAGACTGTTGGGAATGTTAGATAGAAGTAGGATATTCTGAGGGGTGAGGTTGGGGGGAGGTGATGAGAAGAGAAGGGACCATAGATTTCGGACTTTGTTCCATATCCAGGCAGCCTGACTGCAGTATAGGAGGCAGTGGGGTATGTCTTCCAGATCGCTGTCATTGGGCAGTACGCAGAGTTCCGAGCTGTCAAGATCCAAGTGTGTGCAAGTTCTTCATGTAAGGGACGCTGAATCCGGTTTTCAACGATAATGTAAGGGGGAAAAAAAAAGTCACAATGTTTAGAAAGGTCCAAGAATTGCGAGGTTGCTATGGATTGGGAGGTGTGACGCCCGGTAGCAGTCCCTCCCTTGAGAGGCGACTAGAGCCACAAGCGATAGGCCGACCTTCTTTCACGTCTATTCTCCCCCTCCTCGTTTGTTTTATTGTAAAAAGTGCTAAAAAATGCTTGCCGGTGATTAGTAACTGGACTGACGCCCCCTGAGAATAGAAGGGGTTGTGTTGGTTTGAAAGAGGGAAAAAAAAAAACGAGGTCCAAGAATTGTCCTTCAGAACATCCATTAAAATTCGAACGATAGTTACGATACAGAGAAGATTAGCATGGCCCCTGCACAAGAATGATACACATAGATCGAGAAATGGTCCCAATTGGTCGGCCCCTCTTTTTTCCAATTAAGTAATGAAAGTGCATCCTTTTTTTTGTTGGGGGGGGGGAAGAAAGGTTCAAGAATTCAACCAAAATGCAATGGCTGAATGAAGACAAGCTCTAGCTAATACCCGAGGCGTCCAAGATGCATTTTCTATGGAATCTCAAACCACAACTGTCCCAACCTAGCTCATGGAACTTCTGCATCTTTTTCTGGAGACCTGATAAAGCTTTCTCCTCAGTGTCTGACACAGAATTTATCTACCATCGTGAGTTTCCACCCAGGTTCCGGACTCTTCGCAGAAGATTTTTAAGCGAGCTGAGATATTCCGGCAGCAGACTGGCAACCTTGAGCTGATTGTCAACATGTACAATGGCATACTGGTGAGTTGAGCACTGAAGTTGCCACATTATCAGGGAAGCCCTTAAGAAAAGAAGCCTGATTTTGTGTTGTATTCTACTGTTATGGTAGTTTGCCCTGATTTTTTTTGGGGGAAATCTTGGAGATTGTCTTGCTACTTTAATAGTTACTTCTTTGAAGTTCTTTCCTTTTTCCTTTTCCGTGAAATACGTCGACTCAACTCATGCCAGTGTGAGACTCAAAACCTTGTCATATGAGCTAGGGGAAGCAGGCTGTTTCAACCTCAGTTCTATAGTGGAAGTATTCTTTGTTCATTAACTGATGGTTGCTCTGTCTCGATCCTGCCCATGTGCACCACTTTTGTGGTAATGAATCCTTCCCTTGTGCTCTTCTCTTGTAGAGAAATCATATTTCCATACTTGCCCTCTTGCTTTGTCGATAAATGGTTTCCTCCCACTGTATGTGCATGTGCCAGACCAGCCTCAATCCCTGAGCTCTGACAGCTGGCCATCGTTTACTCGTCAGAATGTCAGAAGCACATATCTGATCCAGTACAGGTGGCAAGATGGTTAGAGACGATTCCACAGCTAGGAAAAAAAGGGAGGAGCAGGAACAGGACTACGAGGAGGTGGAGGACAAGGAGGAGGGTATGGGGGAGCAAGGAGAGGAAGCAGAGGATGAAGAAGAGAAAAAGAGAAGCTCGATAATGAAGATGAAAACAGACTACGCGATCAAGATTGGGAATCAGGCAATTTAAGTGGAGGCTGATGTCGAAAGGTGATTGAAGGCCCAGGACCATAAGGGCCTGATCAAAAAAAAAAAAAAAAAAAAAAAAAAAGGTAATTGGGCGGCAATTCAAGCAGAAAGAGGAGGACACGGAGGAGGAGTGGGGAGGGGCAAACAGAGAAGGTAGGAAGAACAGGAGGAGCATGGGAAAGAGTAGCTGGATAAAAGAGGATAAAGATGGCAATGAGGAACAGAAGAGGATGGAAAAGGAAGAGGATAATGACGAGGAGGAAGTAGAGGAGGTCGTGGTGATGGAGGCATGTTGAAGTTACACGTGCTATTTGGTTATTCCGTATGGACACCGAGAAGGAAAATGAACTCTCTCTCTCTCTCTTTCTCTCTCTCTCTCTCTCTCTCTCTCTCTCTCTCTCTCTCTCTCTCTCTCTCTCTCTCTCTCTCCCCCCCCCCCCCCCCCCCCCGCCCCCCCCCCAACTACTAACACTACTTTAGCTGCATGGAAATGAAAACAAAGGAGGGAAGGAATGGTGTTGTGGGTAACAAATTGAACTGATACCCTGAGGGGAATTTTTTTCCCTTTTTTATATACAGCTCATATGAACTGGATTTGTTTGCCAGCAAATAGTTAAGTCATCACTTCAAACCATGGCAGCGGCGGACAAGTCATCTGGACAGATCCGGACACCGGACGCCGGATTTCCCGGCTTGATCCGACCGTCCGGATTTCCGGTAAATTTACGTATAGTCGGACATGTCCGGATGGTCATATATGCAAACCTGCATAGATGTGCTGATAGAAGAAGGGCCCGGGGTATGGGTGTTCCATTCAGCCGTTCATTGGTGTCCCGACTGACTTGGGTCAGTTGGTATGGGTGTTCCATTGACTCAAGGCTGAATTGCTGTTGGCTTTTCAAGACTGGCCACCAGAAAAGACTACGTAAAAAACTCCAGCCTACCAAGCAGTCAGCAGAGAGAAAACTGGGGAGGTCCCCAGATTTGTTGCGGGCACCCGTTCTGACAGGCGCTGTTGTCACTCTGAAAGCGGAATCTTTTTTTTTTTAGTTTTTCTTTGAAGTTGTTCTCTGATTTTGCAGGAATGGACCAGATTTGTTTCAGGGAAGCCATTGCCGCGTTGGGAAGGACTGAGTAACGCCATTGTGCGAAATAAATAAATAAATTGTTAATTCAAAGTTCAAACCTCTAAGCCCTGAGAGGAGCGCACAATTACGTTGTTCTCGGATTTTGCAGGAATGTACCAGATTTGTTTCAGGGAAGTCATGGGCGCGTGGGAAGGACTGAGTAACGTCATTGTGCGAATAAAAAAAAAATTGTTAATTCAAACCTCAAAGCCCTGAGGGGAGGGCACAATTACGTTTATGGAATGTTTTTTTTTTATTATTATAATAAAATGGCCTCATTCCGGCGCTGTCTGGATGCCAGACAGGGCCCATAAAAAATCAGTCAGTATTTTTCCACGGCAGCCCAGGATGGAAGAAAACCACCTGGGGTGACCCAAAAAAAATGGGCCACTTCCAATTTTCCAACCATCCGGACAGGGATCTGGACACCGGACACCGGACGGTCCGGATCCCTGTCCGGGTGTCTGGATCGCTGCTATGCTTCAAACGACAGGTCATCTTCCTAACCATCCCCTTTTCCTTGCTTCCCTGACATTATGTTTACCATGATTCTCATTTTGAAACAATATCGATGCCAGCTTGATAAGCTGAAGGGAAGCCCAGAGAGATTCCATTAAGGCATTCCTTCAGTAAGTGGTGTGCCGTGACACAAGCAAAACATAATGAGGCAAATCAGGTTGATTAGACAAATGGAACTTGCTGTGTTGCTGGCAGCTAAGTGCCATACTTGTATTTTTTATTTTTATTTTTTTAAATTATATTATTTATATTATATTATTATTATTATTATTATTTTTTTTTTTTAACAGGTCCTTACGGTCCTGGCTCCATGTCCATTCTGGGGAGCGTCAGTCCGGTTCCTATTCCCCCGGCAAGTCAAAAGAATACATCGTTTCACCCACTCAACGCTTCCTTCCGTCTGGCCGAAGGAACCCTGACCAGCATTGACTGTCAGCTTGCCCTGACCGCTTGTTACTCTCAGGCTTCTATTCAGAGCCCTGTCGAATGAGTCCCTGCAATACGAGAAGAGTGGGGGGGTCCGCTCAGTGTTCTACTGCTTGTCCTTGTCCTTCATTGTGTGTCCGGTTTGCCCTGTTGTTGATCCTCCTTCGGGGCCTTCTTGGTCTTGTGCCAGGGCACCTGGCAGGAGACCTTATATACTTCATGATTGTGCCTGGTGCCATTTCTTCATCTCAACATGTTGTCAACTATCGTCGCCACCTTGCCCTTTAGCAGCCAGTTCCTCATGAAGGTCTGTTTCTTGGTTGCTTGTCCTTCTGGTCTGTGTCTTATAGAGTTGACTATTCTCCACCACCTGCTTCTGATTTCCGTCTCTGGCATACTCAGGAGTAATGACCATATTTCTTCCCTAGCCACCTTTGCACCCTCGATTGTTTGAGTGCATCTGCGTTTCCTTTTTTTTTTTTTTTTTTACACCCAACACACTCACCCCTTCTATTCTGGGGGGTACCAGTCCGGTTACTTATTACCGGCAAGCATAGAAAGACAACAGATAAACGTACATAACATCAGATGAGAAAGAGAGGAAAGGCCTACCTGCCCGGCCCGAGACGCCAATGGCAGGGGACTGCGATGAGCTACCACACCTACGAGCGACAGGCTCGTGACAGACACGGATCAGGCGGGAAACATCCCCAGGGTACCCAGACACCTACCCGGGCTAACACGAGAGATCCTGCACCTAAGGAGGGGGAGTGTGCCACAGTCGCCGGCCCCCTATACCATAGTCATTACTCTGATACTTGCTATTACATCTCCCACAGTTTTTCTAGTAGAACTAACTGTCCCACATCCCATTATCCTTACTCGAGCAGTGGGGTGTGTTTTCTCGAGTAAGGATAATGGGATGTGGGACAGTTAGTTCTACTAGAAAAACTGTGGGAGATGTAATAGCAAGTATCAGAGTAATGACTATGGTATAGGGGGCCGGCGACTGTGGCACACTCCCCCTCCTCAGGTGCAGGATCTCTCGTGTTAGCCCGGGTAGGTGTCTGGGTACCCTGGGGATGTTTCCCGCGTGATCCGTGTCTGTCACGAGCCTGTCGCTCGTAGGTGTGGTAGCTCGTCGCAGTCCCCTGCCATTGGCGTCTCGGACCGGGCAGGTAGGCCTTTCCTCTCTTTCTCATCTGATGTTATGTACGTTTATCTGTTGTCTTTCTATGCTTGCCGGTAATAAGTAACCGGACTGGTACCCCCCAGAATAGAAGGGGTGAGTGTGTTGGGTTTCCATATCACCCACAGTGCCAGCTTCCTGAGCAGGGTAAACCATACTTCCCTGCTGGCTGTGATGTTGCTGGGGATGTTAGCTAGGATTAGGATAGAGAGACGGGGAATGTCAGGGGCCGGCGAAGGGAACAGGATCGACCACAGCTCGCGGACCTTCTTCCATACCCAGAAGAGGAGGCAGTGTGGGATGTCTTTGGGAAAGTTGTTGCTGCACATCGAGCAGCAGTCCGAGCTATCAGGGTCGGAATGTTTCCTTCTAGTATGTAGCCATTGGTTAACGGGAAGGGCTGCATGTGCTAACAGCCATTGCAAGCTGCGGATTCTGATTGGTCTGATGAGAAGGTATTTGGTCCATGGGATGGTGATGGGGATCGTGTCATCTAGGTTAAGTATGCTTCTCCATTTCTTTGTCAGCCTTGGATTTGGGTCCCTGGTTTGTAGTCCGAGGTTATACCCGAACTTTACGTCGTATTGTGATATCGTCCTAGACTTCCCGGTAGCGCCCAGGTCCCATATCCATTCTTTTGGGTCGAATCCCAGCTCCCTAATGCTGATTTCCGGTTGGAAGATGATCCAGGGTCTCCTGTGAGAGATCTAACCTTCCTGATAAGGTAGGTTTCTATTTGTTTGTTCTGTGGTGTTCTGTTTAGGACCTCGAGTTCGTATATGTTGTGTTTGATGATGGGGTAGGATATGAGCTTGGCCTGGTAGTTAGTTGGGTCCGGTTGGGTCACAAAGTCGTAGGCTCTTGTTGGTGCGGTCTGAGTGGTGAGCAGTCCCCAGTCTCCAGGTTTCCACGTGTGTGGTTCTTTAAGGAGGGTCGTCCATGGGGGGGAAATGCTTTGACGGATTTCTGACAGGTTGGTGGTCAGTAGGTGGCACCCTTTTAAGGATGTGTGGAGGTCCTGTTCGGTTAACCATTCTTGTCGGTCCTCAGACCATAGATGTTTGACCTGCAATACTCCTCTCTCCACCCAAGACAACCATCTGTGGTCTTTGGCCCAGAGGGTCCATGGTCTGCCCTCTGTGTCCTTAATCCAGGGATTGCAGAACAGGGGCTATCTTAAGACTTCCTCTTTGTTGCTCAGGGACATTATTATTATTATTATTATTTAACAGAACCTTATGGTTTTTAATCCTTTTCCATTCTGGGGAGCATCAGTCCGGTTCCTATTCCACGGGCAAGTCAAAGGAATTACAAATAGGATACACACACGCTCTTCCCCTTCACGGTAGGAAAGCCCAAGGGACGACATTGATTACTTCACACAGGAAGGATGTATCGCCCCTCACCCTTGCCTAAGTTAGCCTGATTTCTTTTGTTTGGAATCTAAGACTTGGAAACAAAACCGGATTGTGGTCTCTATAGACTTGCTTAGTCGGGCCTCGTCTAACCTGTTCCTCTCAGTTCCTTGACTGCCAGAATCACGTCAGGTACTAGAACTGCAGACTCGACCCTTATCAATAGGTCTTGAAAGACCCTGAATCTTCTGGACCTGTTGCTGGTGCCTATGGCTTCTATTAAAACCCAAACCTCCCTTTTTCAAAAATTTCCTCTTCACCGCTCTCTAACTTGTACTAAAACCCTAAACCCTAGCTATTTTATCTGGTCTATTCAACACCTATTTGAAATCTCTTCCCAAGGTCTGTGGCCCATATCCTAATTTCAATCCCGTTAATGGAGAGTATTGCCGTTTTGGGAGCTATTTGTGGGGTGGGACTGGTGTTGCTTTTGCTGGCCAGAGAAGAGATTGTGAGGGCCATATTTATATTCCAATGAATTAGTCATGATGCCTTTATCAAGTTTTGTCCTTTGAGACATCCTTTTAGAAGTGAAACAATAAAGAGAAGATTAGCATGGTGCCTTACTGCCGGTGGATGGACTCTGTAAAATTGTAAATTCTTAATGCTACAAATTTTGCTAGAGCAGATGTCTCTTATGGAGGTGGAGAAGCCACTGGTGGAGAAGAAGATGTCAAATGTGGATGCGGCATTAGCAAAAGGGCTGCAGTCTCTCAACTGGAATAGCCACAAAATTGAGGATTATGTTACAGAGGTCATGAGCATGCTTAAGGATCTGAGCCAGGTCCTCCAAAGCCTCAAGAGTAATGTCAAGCGCACACAGTCAATCGTTGACAGGTCAGCAACTAGCTAAGCAGGTTATCAAAAGTTCAAAAACACTTTGCTGAGTTTGCTCATGAATTCCTTTTCGCTTTCCCGTTTTCCAGTTTCTTCTTCTTCTTCTTCTTCTTCTTCTTCTTCTTCTTCTTCTTCTTCTTCTTCTTCTTCTTCTTCTTCTTTTTGAAAAAAAGCATGATTTCATTATTTGAGCAAAAGGAGGCCGGGAATCCCTCCACATCTCGACCCGGAATGCTGGGGCCAATACCCAGCTTAGGCTCATACTGGACAACGGGTCCAGTGTCCCATACTTTTTTTTTTTTTTTTTTTTTTTTTNCAACATCCCGTACTAAGGAACTGCTATGCCAGCCTCAACCCTATGCTTCGTACTAGGAGGATAGCCAACCCTAGGTCATGAGTTACAGACTGAGTTTCGTATCCTTATGTTGTCTTACTAAAGTGTTCTATGGTGTTGATGGTAGAGAGATGGGGATCCTCCGTTCCCTCGTATATCCCTGGAGCCCGTTCCAGCCCCGCGGTAAGGTGCAGTATCTCCTGACACCCCTGACATCCCGTACGAAGGACTGCTATGCCAGCCTCAACTCTAAGCTACGTACTAGGAGGATAGCCCACCCTCAATCGTGAATCATGGACCATATGTGTTGACCCTGGATGATCTATTAGCCCTGTGTTGTATGGTATTCTGAGAGCAGACAATCCTCCGTTCCCTCGTATGTCACTGGAGCCCGTTCCGGCCCTGCGGTAAAGTGCAGTATCTCCTGACACTCCCGATGTCCCATACTTTTTTTTTTTTTTTTTTTTTTTTTTAATCAAAATAGGTCCTTATGGTCCTGGCTCCTTTCCATTCTGGGGAGCGTCAGTCCGGTTCCTATTCCCCCGGCAAGTCGAATGGAATTACATATAGTACACACTCAGGCTTCCTTCCGTATGGCCGGAGGATCCCTGACCGGCATTGAGTACTCCCTTGCAGGAGGATTGACTGTCAGCTTGCCCTCTCAACTCGTTCCTCTCAGCCTGCTGTATATGCCTGCCAGATATTCCTCTACATAACTAGGGAAGTGAGAGGTTTCGCTGCCATCTGTACACGATTGGCTTTCATATGCCCTGTTTATCGCCCCACTTGTTCCTGTGTTTGTCATACTGATCTTCGGTCTTGGACTCCATGGTTTGGTTGACACCTTTCCTTTACCCTTGATGCCACTTCTTCCATATCAGTCTGTTGTCGGTTATGGTGGCCAGCTTGCTCTTTATTAGCCAGTCCTTTAGGAATGCTCGTCTCTTAGCTGCGTGCTTATCTGGTCTGTGTTTTGCTGATGAAGATATTGTCCGCCATCTGCTCGTCTCTTAGCTGCGTACTTATCTGGTCTGTGTTTTGCTGATGAAGATATCGTCCGCCATCTGCTCCGGATTTCGGTCTCCGCCATGTGTATCAAAAAAGTCCACATTTCTTCCTTTGCCACCTCTGCTCCCTCAATTGTCTGTGTGCATCATCGTTTCCTTACGATCCAGAGAGTTAAGCTTTCTGAGTAGTTGGAACCAGACTTCCCTGCTGTCCTTGAGGTACCCAGGAGTGTTTGGGAGGAGTGGAAGGGTTAAGGGGGAAGTGTTGGGTGGTGGGGCTGAGAAGAGGTTAGACCATAGCTTCTGAACTTTGTTCCAGAACCAGGTCGCTCCGGGACAGAAGAGCAGGCAGTGTGTGATATCTTCAGGCATGTTTTTGTTGCACATCGCACAGATTTCCGAGCTGTTTATGTCTGATTGTTTCCTTCTTTTGTGAAACCATTGGTTGACCGGGAGGGCTGTGTGTGCAAGGAGCCATTGCATACTTCGGATTCTGACTGGTCCGATAAGAAGGTGTTTGGCCCACTAGATGGAGAATTGGATTGGCGGGTCCAGATTCAAGATGGTCTTCCATTTCTCTATTAACCTTGGATCCGGACCTGTGGTCTGCAGTCCGAGGTCGTAGCCGAATTTTACATCATATTGGGAAATTGTTCTAGCCGTCCCTGTGGTGCCCTGATTCAACATCCATTCCTTCGGGTCGAATTCCAGGTCTTCAATACTGAGTTCTGGCTGGGATATGACCCATGGTCTATTCTGGGAGACTCGGACGTTCCTGAGGAGGAAGGGTTCTAGTCGCATGGCCTGTGGATCCTCTTTCTGGATTACTAGCTTCTGAAGGGTATGGTTGGCGATAGGGTAGGATAAGAAGTTGGATTGGTAGCTTGAAGAGTCTGATCTAGACACGAAGCGGTAGGCTCTCTCAGATGGAGTGTGTGAAATAAGTATGCCCCAATCGCCTGTTTTCCAAGTAAATGTTTCTCTGAGGAGCATTAACCACTGAGCAGGGATGCTGTGATGTATTGCTGCTAAGTTGTTTTCAAGCGAGTGGCACCCCTTGAGGGAGGTTCGGAGTTCCTGGCTCGTCAGCCAGTACTTCTGTTCTGCTGACCATAGGTGTTTGATCTGCCACACTCCTCTCTCCACCCATGTGAGCCATCTCCGATCTCAAGGATTGCAGAAAAGGGGTTGTCTGAGAACCTCTTCTTGGTTGTCTGGTGCCCCATGTTTGTTGGGCATCCTTGTTTATGCAGGTAGTCTTGTTAGGGTTGCCCATCCATTAAAAAAACATATGACCCCGAGTCTTGAGTTCTTCGTAAGGGGGGAACCAGATGGAGGCCATGTACCATAGCGTGGAGAATATAGACGTGTTTATGATAAGTGCTCTGCCAAACAGGGATGTCTCGGCTTTCTTACACGGGCTAGGTCGGCTATTGCCTTCGCGATTAAGTTTTGGGCCATCCCTAGCCATATGCCGTCCTTGTTGACTGTGATGCCCAGGTATCGAAGTGCTTGGTTGCCAGTGGACCACGGCATGAGAGTGGATAGATCAGGAGGTTGAGGAGGGGTGCTGTCTGTGAACCACCATGCTTTGGTTTTGGACCACTTCACCTTCATTTATGATGCTAGTCTAAAGGCTTCCATAGCTCTAACGAGGGCTTGGAACGAGGAATTGTTGGTACGGATGAGGACCGTCAGATCATCGGCGAACATCAGCACTGTGGGCAGAGCGAAGTCGTGAAGGGGGTTGTAGTTCTGTGTGGCGAGGCTCTCTATAGAATGGTCTTTGCGGAGGAAGGAAGCGATGGCCTCCATGATGAACAGGAAGATGGGGGGAGCTAGTGGGTCGCCTTGACAGACGAACCTGGATATCGGATAAGCGTCTGGCACTATCCTGTTTATCTGGACTCTGCCAGCGGCGTCGCCATTTAGAGCTCTGACCCACTCCTTGAAATTTGGGCCCACTCCCATCTTTTCCATGCAGTTTTGGAGAAAGTCCCAATTTACTTGATCGTAGGCTTTTCCAAAATCAAAGAATAGAATGGACGCCTGCATTTGTTTTTCAGTAATCTTCCTTGCTGCCTCATTCAGGGTCATCACGTTATCTAGTGTTTATCACTTGATCAATGTGAAAACACTTGTCGGTAAGCTTTATGATCCTGTTGGCTAGTGCTTTCGCTAGTATTTTGTAGGGAGTTGTGAGTTGTGAAATTGGTCTGTAGTTTTTTAGGTTCTCTTTGTCGCCTTTCTTGTGGTTTAGCGAGACCACACTAGTGCTTAGGAATGAACCCAGGTTGCCCTTCACTTTGCTGGCATTGATAAAATTGAGGAGGTCGTTCCCTACGATAGGCCAAAACTAGATCCATAACTCTTTGGAGAGTCCATTGATCCGTGGTACCTTGTCGTTTCCCATCTGGGATAAGGCCGCTCGGAGTTTCCCTAGGGTGATGGGTTTGTCCAAGCCCTCTGACTGATCTGATGAAATCGTCCTGTCTAGGTAAGACATCATTTGTTTACGGGATGTCAGGTTTGTCGTGGAGGGGGGTGAGGGTGTTTTGGATTCATACAGGACTGCGTAGAAGGATCTCGCAATCCTTACAATGTCTATGCTAGTTGTTTTCATTCTCCCCTGGTTCGATGGGTCTTTCGGCTTCTCCATCGTGTTGTTACTAGTGTTGGCTTTTATTTTGGCGAAGAAGAACCTGGTCATAGATTTGTTAGACTGTAGTACGTCATCTTGGCTCGTAGTTGCATGCCTCTTAATTCCCATCTCCTCCACTCGCTCAGCTCTTCCTTGGAGGATCTCAATAGGTTGTAGTAGAACTCGTTGGTGGGGTCTGTTGTGAGGTTAGCCTCTACAATCGTAATAGCAATTTGAAGTTCCTCCTTTCTGATTTTGCGTTCAGCCACTATGCTTTTTGACTCGACCGACACCGTCTGCGGCAGGTCCGAGTCTATAAACCATTGGTGTCTGTCACTACGCCTCGCTTCATCTTGTCACGTAAATAGCCAATTTCATTTATTTGCCTCTGTTAGACGGTTTGTGGAGAGAAGGGAGATATTCAGTTTGTAGAAGCCATGTCCTCTTTCCACCGGGACGTTCAAGTTGAGGAGAAGGTGTATGGGTTTATGGTCCAATCCTTTACAGGCAGATGCAGATAGGATTTCTGCCTCCTTTACTGTGCCTTGAAGGATTTCGGAAATCAGGAAGAAGTCGATCCGTGATAGGGAAGTATGGTTGTCACGGTTTCCTTTGACAAGAGAAAAGGCTCTCACTAGGGGATGGAGTGTTTTGAACGGGTCGACCAGTTCAAATTCACTCATGATGTTTCAAATTTGGGTTCCTGCTCGTGTGGGACCCATCAACAAGGAGCGAGAAATACGGTCAAGGTTAGGGTCTAAGGTAGTGTTCCAGTCTCCAGCTATGATTACCGGTAGGGGGTTTGGGATGATCGATTTGATGTCACTAAAGAACTCTAGTCGTTCACTTTCTGCATTGGGGGCGTATATGTTTAAGATTCTCATATCTTTTTCTTGCCATCTGATGTCGATCGAGGACCATCTGCCCTCGATTGTGTCTCCACCCCCATTAACTACTTGTCCTTCTATCCAGATTTTGGATGAGCAAGGTATGAGGATTGTTGTCCTTCATTTGCTTT